AATTTGCATAAATACCACCTGAACTTATAGGCATGTGCGTTATTATCACCTGAACTTTTCATTTTTATTTTTAACCACCTGACCTTTGTAAAGTATAGTAATTCACCACCTACATATAACTCCGTTAAAGCTTCCGTTAAATTTAAGGGTATTTTTGTCAATTAACTATAATTATAAATAAAAAAGTATACATATAATAAAAAATAAAAAATGTTAACCTAATTATACCAGGCCTCTCCACCCCCAACACCCACACCCTCTGCATAAATCCTTCAACGTGAGTACTTGATTGCTTAAGTGTATTCCCAACACTCATTGAGCTAGTGAGATCAGGTATGTCATGCCCTCACAAAAAGGACATTCGAAAGAAGAGGTGGTCGTGGTGTTGTGCGGTTGATTTTCATATATGATCACCATACGATCAGACCAGGGCAAAACCACAAGAACTTTAGAAGGCATCAATTTCTGCCATCACCATAAGATTATGACCTTCAACACCTGTGGAACCTTTTTTTTATTTTTTATTTTTTATAAAAAATTTGTATTTTAACAATTATTTTTAGTTATTGTTAATTAATGAAAATACTCTAAACTTAACGGAAATTTTAATGGAGTTATACGTAGGTGGTGGATTGCAACACTTTATAAAGTTTAGGTGGGTAAAAATAAAAATAAAAAGTTCAGGTGGTAATGACGCACATGCCTAAAAGTTCAGGTGGAATTTATGTAAATTTCCCAAAATAAAATATGAACCGTGTTCTCCTTTTGTTTTTTGTATAATTTTGATATGGAATTTTTCTTTAATGTGGAATTTTGTTCATTTACTATATTATTCTAATTTAATGAATAGTTTCATTTCTTGATATTTTCATTAATCAATGATGGATGATAAGGAAAACATCATCAATGAAGGATGATGTGTCTCATGGAAACCCAAATTGAAGTTGAGAGCCGAAATCTTACTAGAATTTGATCCTAACTTACAAACCAATTAATGAAACAAATTTTCATTTTCCTTTTCCTTTTGGGACGAATTCCATTTCGTACTATATATTGCATTCCATTCACATTACCATTTTATTTCATTTATTCCATCAAACAAAGATCATGAAAGAAGGGGATGAACATGTGGGATCTGATTGAAGAAAAGAAAAACAACAACAAAAAGAAAATAGGTGAAAGAGCAAAGAAATATACAAGGGTGAAAACAAGACCAACCTCAGCATCTTTCTTGTTAGTGGGGTTCTTATCAGGGTGCCATTTCACTGCCAACTTTCTATAAGCTTTCTTCAAATGTCATAACAAAATTGTTCTTACTTTTTCTCCCTCTTTGACTGAATAAATTACACAATTCCTCTGTTCCCAGCCGTGATACTTGAAGGGATTTAACGTTCAAATGATCTTTTCAGCTACAAAATATGAGTTGAGAAATGAAAAGAAAGAGAAAGTCTTTAACCATCTATTAATGGTGAGGGAGAGAACGGCTCTTTAAATATATACGAATATTTTAAAATAAATATATTTAAAGAATGAGGACGGTGAGTTTTTACTTGCTAATTAGGTAGAGAAAGAAGACGGTGAGGAGGGAGAGAATGACGGACTTCTTAGATATTGGTCCATTTTTATTTAGATACAATGGATGCAGGACATTAATTGGACTCTCTTCAATTGCAGTCCTCCCAATCAATTGCATGGCCAGGTAAGCAAACCTTGTAGCCATCATATTCGAGACATTTACAATAATGACATTGGTTGAAAATGGCCAGTACATGCAAATACCACTTTTAAATATCAGTTTTCTCCTACAATCAAGCTTATGACATTCAATTTAAATGATGATTTCATGGCTCACAGATTAAAAACCTATTTAATTCAAATTCTAGCTATATACATATGGAAACTATATTTTTAGAATTCTATATTCGTAGCTTTATTAAATTGGTAGCATATACCTACCCTTTAGCAATAAATTTATATATTGAGTTTTTCAAAATTCTTTGATGGAATTTTTTTGTCATAATGTTAATTTTTTAATATACCTAGTATGGAGGTATAACTTTAAAAAAAAAAAAAAAAGTGTTGTACCTAGCATGAACGTGTATCAAATATGTACTATACCTATTAGATAGGTATGTCAAGTTCAATGGTTAGTAGGGTATTGTACCTGGAGCATAGGATTATCAAATTTAAGAATAATATTAATAGTTCATGAAGAAATAAACGAGTACAATGAGATGGGAAAAAAAACATCTGAATTATTAATCTCTTTCGCAAAGTTATAAAACTAAAAAATAGTACAACTTAACAATTGGTGAGAAACAATTGAAAATTTTAATCATTATTATTTTTAGGTACATAGAGTGGGAAAAAAAAACATTATACTACAAAAAGCTACACAACAATGAAATTAAAACCTAAAACAAACATAAAAGATGGGGAAAAAAAAACAATACTAGTATATGACTGGGCAATTGTATTATCAACAAATAATAAAAGGAGTACACAATAAAATAAGTGGCAATGGATTAACATATGTATGCACAATATGTGCATTAATAAAATCCACGTTAAATAGGAATTTGTAAAAATCAAGCACAAGAAAAAAGTGAAGGTCCGACATTTACATTCAAAATGTAATTATTCCTTTAATTACATGATCAAATCTAATTATTAATGGCCTATAAATCCTCATCTTACCCGTTTTAAACAATAGGGATATAATATGAACAAAAAATTTAAATACAAATCAGTTAAATACAAAAGACCGAGTTAGCATGTCAAAAATAGAGTGTAATCTACATGGCAAACTAGTCAAAGGACTTGTATCAACAAATAATAATTTGAGGACTAGACCCAACTATTGGTAAGATTTTTGAATCTCTATCAACTTTTCTATTAAATATATACAAATATTTAAAAGGTATATAGCCAGTATATTCGAATAAGGTCCCATCTCTGATACACGAATTCTCTCTAACTCATCATCCAAGTTTCTTTTTTCCCTTGGCAAACTTCATCTATAACACCCATCTAAAAGAAAAGAAAGTAAATTATGAAGAAGAAACTATAGAGCATATTCAAAGAGGAAGAATCAAAGTCTCAGCATAAGTTTTCTAACCTGGTTTTGTAAATGAACATGCTAGATAAGAGAAGAGCTAAGGAAAACACCTGTGTGCTGTATGTTTCCTGTCAGATACAAGTGAGTCATAAGTATTACAGTCAGCGTAAAAAGTGTTTATTGGTTTGGTTACAGAACCAAACCAATACAACGGAAATGGATAATGAAAATTATCATAATTATAAAAGGAGCACATACTAATATGTTGTTAAGTAAGGGAATGAACGGCAACCGTCTGATCGAAGGCCTCTATTCCTTCGGTATCCAATAGTAATAGGTTGTATTCAATTCCATCAAGAGCAGTTCTCTTAAACAGTGCACTCCAGAGCCATAGCCCTTCTAATGGGTGATGCTACTTGAAATCCACCGCTCCTTCCAAGAAGCTACAATAGATAAATACAAACATAGCAACGTTCAACTGGTGGGGAAGTAATAGTAAACTTACTGGTCATGAGAGAGAGAGATTACTTTTAAATCGTACAGCCGTGCGGCTATACTTTCAAAATATTATTATATTTAAAGCGTATAGCCGACCGGCTATACTATTTAAATAATAAAAAAAGGGACATTTTGGAAAAGACCGAAGGAGAGAGAAATATTTTTAAAAGAAGCCAAAATGGACAAAAATGCCCTTATTTATTTTTGGATTTCCTAAGAAATATCTATGCTGACGAAATTGTGTCGGGAGAGGTTTTTTGAGAAAAATAAATATAAACTTAGGAGGTTTTGGTGAATTCATTTTTTAAAATGTTGTTGTTAGTAATTAGATAATATATTTTCCTTAATATTAAATTAAGCATGTTGTCCAGAAGAAAAAGTAAAGAAACTATTTTTATATTTTTAAAATTATATATTAAAAAATAAATAAATGAACACTTATACCGACGAAATTTCGTCGGCGAAGATCTATGCCGGCAAAATTTGCCTGATTAGGTTTTCCCTGACGAAAATACCTATGCCGACGAAAGTTCTTCTGGAGAGGTCTAATGGACCTGTGCTGATGAAATTTCGTGAGGAGTGGTCTTTTTGAGAAAAAAAAATATAAACTTAGGATATTTAGGTTAATTAATTTTTTAAAATTTTATTGTTAGTAATTAAATAATATATTTGCCTTATTTAATTAGTAAAATTAGTAATTATATTTAATTATTATTTATTTAGTGAATAATTAGTATTAAATTTATTAATTAACTTCATGAATTATATTACTTAATAAATAGTAATTCAATTTTTCCTTTAATATTCACTAAGTAAAACATAACTACAATTCAAAGTAATTAAAAAGAGAGATACTTCTCGTGGTTCAGACCAAAAAAAAAAAAAAAAAAAAGAGAGATACTTAAAGGGTATAGCCGCGCGGCTGGACTTTTGAAGTATTCTATCGCAGTACAGCCACGCGGCTATACGTTGAAGATATTCTTTTGAGGTGCCCTTATCCTATAAAGGTCTTTATAAACAAAGCACTATGATGGTTTGATAAGTGTGGTTAACATTGGAGAGTTGAGGTAATGGACTTGGCTATAGGCTCTGCTTTGGATTTGGCTATGCTCTCTCATGATTCTGTAGAGGTGTATGAAATTATATTGAAGAAATTTTCAGTATTGGTTATTCGAGAGTATTTTATATATGCACTGCACCTGAAGTCTTGTATTTCATTTCCCTCTTCTCAACCTCGTTTGTATCAAAATTATACGTTATATAGTGAATTGATTATAGCTCCACCAAAGGAATGAGAGTCAATATCAGAGATCCTGTACCGTGGGTTCCAAGTCACATAGCCGTGAATGTTGAACAATGTTCTGTTGTGCAACCCATTGTGGAGGAGAAAAATTTGGGCAACAATAATATCACACCAAACATGTTACCACAAGATGCGCATCAATTAAAAACCAACAGTCGAAATCAAATTTAATATTGATTAGCCAGCCTAGACAAAAATACACCCCTAATTATTAATGTACTGCTACTGCATATAGATCCATGTATAAATTCAATTTCTCACTTACATATCACAATGGATTGGTAGGGAAAATTACTAAAACCCCATTTATTTCCTATTGAATTGAATTATGTAAAAGAAAAGAAAACATTGATCATTGATCATTGATGATAATCATGATGATGACGATGACCACGACCACGACCACGATGACGACTTCATTATGCAAGGTCGCCTTCTGGGGTTAGGCCAAGCTCCTTGAGGACCTCAGCGCACTGAGCGTCGGGTTCCTTCTTGAGGAAACCAAGAGGGTTTGGAATGCGATGGGGTCCGGCGATGCCATTGTTGTTTGTGAGGCTGATCCTCGCGCTCAACTTTGCATGAGAGTCAGTGCTAATCTCGCTGCAGTCATCTCTGGGGCTCTTCACCAATACCACCTCGCAAACCTCCTCTTCGTGGTCTCCTTCCACCGGAATTTGGTACCTTCCTTGCTCATCAGTCTCTGTCTCGCTGCTCAGGGTTATGGTCCCGCCTTCCCGGTCTCTGCATTCCAACTTCACCTTTGCACCTGCACGTGTCCCATTCCATGCAATGTGAATGCATACATTGTTAGAAAGAAAAGAAAAAATATTGTTTGCTATCGAATATCAGTATGCAATAGATTGGGGAAGACGATCAGACAATGTACCTTGAAGGGCCTCACTGATCCTGGTCATAAACTGGATACGGCAGCTGTCACAGTAAACAAGGCCATCCACACTCAGGTTATCGGCGCAGTAAGCGAAGCCGAGGAGGGACAAGAAGCAAAGGGCAGAGGCAAGGACAATACCACTAGACTTCGTTGCCATTGTTCCAAATTAATTTTTTCTTGTTTGGTTGGAGATGGATTTATATTAGAGGAGGACTGTATAAGTGCAGATTAGGGGGGATCTGTTTTTATAAAGAAAAAAAAGTACGCATATGTTGGGGAATTTGTTTCGTTTTTCTTGGTTAGCAGTTATTTTTCTGAGGTTGTCATTTCTTACCTTTTTTACATGTGGCTGAGACAATTAGTTTGACTCGCTCTTTGCTCCTCAAATCTCTGTGTGTCTCGAATGGTGTTTGGTTCTCAAAGAAAATTCAAGGTGTTTACAGTACCAGTCATTGCCAATGGGTATTAGTTACAGGGATCCCGAGCCTCTACATTTAATATCGGTACATTTACGTGCATTTACACAAATCTAAACCATTTGATTAATCTAATGGAGTTAATTATTCCACGTCAGCATAAGAACACGCCTTTTTTAGCATTTCACTTACCCCTAATGAGATTTATTTTTATTTTTATTTTAGATTTAATCAATTCCCCTTTCACCTTCCCCACGCCACAAACCCCTCTTTCCAGACTCCTGCAGTGCCATGGATGCCATCTCTCCAACATGCAGCACAAATGATCAAAGTTTTTTTATTTATTTTCTTTAGCACAATTCAAGCTTGCCATAGAATTGATGACTTGGGCATGGCCGTACTTGTGTCTTTACTTCTTTGTTGATAAAAAAGGGAATTCCCAAAGAAAATCTAATTCCAGTTAAATTTTTTCTCCTCAAAACTTCCACACGAGAAAAGAGCATAAATATAGAATCAAGCTGCATTTCCTATGATATGCTTTTGAATTTGTCCTAGGTTTTCAATTTTATTATATTGAAACTTGACGGTGCATAAGGTAAAGTTAAAAAATGCCAAATAGGAATTAGGAAGGGTTGGGGTTCGACTGCGAGAGCAATGGTAGCTATGAACAGGGAGTCTGAGAAGAGGGTTTATGATAGATCTAGAATACGTGAGGAGGGTGGAAGGGGCGTTGATTAAACCTAAAATAATACAGAGCTCATTAGGCGTAAGTGATATGCTACACAAGGTGAGTTATAATTATGCTGACGTGGAATAATTAACTCCATTAGATTAATCAAATGGGTGAATACACCAATGCTAAATGCAAAAGACTTGGGATCCCTAGTTCTAGTACTAAAGCCTCGACATCCACACTAATTTGCCTTCGTACAATTTCAAAGTTACAACCAGAAAACAGAATGTCTGAGTTGAGGGAACCCTACTTTACTCTTCATCCAAAATGTTACGGAGCAACTAGAAAGGGATGCTTTAACCAGAAAGAATTCAGTTCAGATGTACGGCTTAACCAAAATGAATGTTAGCTCTGGCTTGTAAGAGATAAAGGGTGAATGTGGAGACGAACGGGGAAAAAAACTGCACAAAACTAATGTCGTCGATTTGGTATCAAAATGAGAACGAAGGAAACGGAGAGATCACAGAATCAGAGAAGCTGGTTGAAGGAGCTAAGAGACAAAATCTTAGAACCAGTGGATTTGAGTGAAAAGTTAAACAAGCTGAAAACATCTCTAGCATCCAGAAAAGAACGCAAACAGCAAAATACCATACATTCCGCAGATAAAGCATGACAATTTGATTGTAACAATACCCCAGCTAAAAGGTGAAACATTCTCAACAAACAGAGGATTGGATGTGGATAAGAAAGCCTTTACATTAGGTCAACAACGTGGACAGATGAATTCGGGGTTGCAAATGCGACTAACAGTAAGGTCAAACTACAATCCCAAAATTAACAAGATGACGAAATTAACTAGAATCTCACTTTGGAAAAGGGAAAAAAAGCACCCTAAAGTAGACCATGCATCAACTTTCTCCATCCACAAATTACACAATGCCTAGCCATGGTCCGCTTCAATTCACTGCCAAAAGGAAAAGGAAAGGAAAATAAGGATGTTGAACACCCAACAACCCAAATTATAATAAAATCCTTGCTAGATATGGCCCAAATGAGAAAAAAAAATGTCTGTTAAATAAGAAAACAAGCTACCTCTGCATCTTCACCTCCAGGCTTAGCAGAGACATCCACCTTCTGGGCTTCCTCAGCTGTAGCAAAGTATTAAATGAATAAACAATGCAGATATCAGATTAGCAGTGCACCCAAACAATTTCTCAAATCTTTCACACAACATGAATAATCAGTATTAATCCCATGTAGCAGTCATTCCACTTTATATAGATTGCGGAATTCATGATTACGAAGAAAGTCTATAAATAAAAGTACGGATACTTGAATATAAAATGCTTACAACTATTGCTTCCTCCTCATTATAAATTTTACGTTGATCAAATAATACCAAATATCTCTCACTAATACAAGTACCATAACGTGAGCAACAGCAACAAACATCATTGTGGATTAATTATCTAGGGCAGAAATACTTTCTAACACATGCAATTCTTGAAAATGCAAGATTGTCAAAATTCTAGCACTACTTTTGGTCACTGACCTTTGATAAACAAGAGCTTACCTATTGAAACTTGCACAGACCTAGGTAGGCTGGTCTCCTTATATTTAAAGACAACTACTGCTCATAGAAAGGCATTTTAAGCTACCAGGCAACCAATGCAATACCTTGTTATTGTTTTAGGTTACCTGCACTATACCAGTGCAGCATAGGACTCAAGAGGAATTAAAAGGTTACTAATAAGTCTATACCTCAAGGATTAATAATTGAGACGATGATTGTAATAAGCTAGTAGTTAGGCACACTTCTGACAATCACAAATCGATCTGTTGATTTATCAAAAGATACTCCAAAAGTAAGTAGTTAAGAATAAGCATCATGACTTGTACCTACATACGACAAGTCAGGAACAACTTATCCACATAAAATGACATTGTCCAGTGCAGGTTAGCATACTTTTAAGGTTGAGAGATACTCTACTGATACAACACATAAGGTATCGTACTTTTTTTTTTTTCCCTATAGTACTTTATGAATTACCTCCATCCTCTGGAATGTCAGAGGTCCACAACGTAAGGTTGTCCCTCAAGAGCTGCATGATCAATGTGCTATCTTTGTATGATTCCTCACTCAAAGTATCCAATTCTGAGATGGCTTCATCAAAAGCTTGCTTTGCCAGGTGACAGGCTCTGGAACAAATTATCAACGTACAACAAAGTAAATTTCTTTTCTTCTAATTTGCTTTTGGCCGAAAAAAATAGAAACACAATATTATGAATCTTGGTCACGATGTATATAATTACACCCGTACCTTTCAGGAGAGTTCAAGATTTCATAATAAAAGACAGAGAAGTTCAAGGCCAAACCCAGTCTGATGGGATGTGTAGGAGGTAAGTCTGTCTCTGCTTTACTAGAAGCTGCCTGCAAAATAGATAAACATAATAGACCACTCAAAATGACAAATCAATTACTTATACTCTTATAGCATCATCTTACCATTCTACAGAACAGTAATGACAGTTTATTTATACAACGAAAAAAATCAGTATAATCATTTCAAGCATCCTATGCACAATCCCCATTGCTCATAGACCATACATATAAATGGAAACTATCAGATGCAAATCAAAATCAGGGCAAACAGCCAGAAGCGAGAAAAAATAATAATGAAGGGACCTAACAGGATCCTTCACTGAAGGTTTCGATAATAGGCTTCTAACCACAACGAATAAGTTTAAGCATAAATAGTAAATACACAGTGCACAATCAACTAAGCAGTTAAGAATGTAAACAAATGCACTAGACAGACATCTTTAATCAATAATAAGTTAAGAACAGATATCTTGGATCACCTAACGTAAGGAAAAGATCACGAATGATGCATTGTCTGTTAAAATCAAATCCAGCTATACAGAATAATAGCGTTAGGTAGTTATTTCAACATAAAAGATACTTGTACCAACATTAACATCAGATATAAGTTTTACTTTTTCCAAGCAACAAAGACTTCATAATCTTGATTTCTTTTGTCTCCCGCATATTTCTCAGGAAGCAAACAGCGCATAAACCAAACTAAAGATCATCTCCTATACCTGATAAGCTTTCATTGACTGATCAGCAACCTCTTTCCTGTCATCACCAGTCTTAAACTCTGCCAAATAGCGATAATAATCTCCCTTCCTGGATTACACAAAATAAACAGCTAAAAACACTAATCCACTCCAAAGCACTCAAAGGAAAGCTTCAAAACCACTAACATTTTGTAGAAAAACACAGTGGACTCAAAAGCTGTGCAGGAAGGAATGAGATGCTCATCGATAACCCTCATGATGTCACTGCAAATGCTAGAGAGCTCAGACTCGACCTTGTGCCTATATTCCTTGATTCGGCTCACATTCTGATCGTTCCCTTTCCCCTCCTCCTTCTGCTCGATCGATGACAGTATTCTCCACGAAGCCCTACGAGCTCCGATCACGTTCTTGTACCCAACCGAAAGCAGATTTCGCTCCTCCACGGTGAGCTCCACGTCAAGCTTCGCTACTTTGGTCATCGCCTCCACCATTTCTGTCAAAAGGTAAAGTAAATGCAAGTCAAAACCCTAAGTGCAGGCCAAGAATTAAGGTGCCGAGAAAATGCATGAAAAAGAAAGAAATCAAAGGCTTAGATCTCAATGCTTTTTCGGTAGAACAAAATCGAGTCTGCGAGAAGTGGCTAAACAGTGTTTGAGTTCAGATTCTCATGATGATTAAATAAAATAAGATAAAAATAACGAGAGAAAGTAATAATCCACAGTCCGTTTACTACTCTGGTTTCTTTGTTTTTCTCACTAGCCAAACAAAGTATACGTTCACACAAAATGAAGGAAAAATATATAAAGAACAAAAAAAGAGAAAATAGTGAGAGAGTGAGGGACTGAGACCATCGTAGCGCTCGGCTTGTTCGGCGAGCTTAGCAGTGTAGACGTAGTTCTCTCTCTCTTTGGTGGAAGCCATGGCCGATCTCACTCCCTCCCTCTCTCTCTCTCTCTCTCTGAGCTCTCAACCCTTGTTTCTCTCTCTAAGCCTCTCTCTCTCTCTCTCTCTCTCTCTCCCCCCTCGCTCTCTCTCTCTCTCTCTGAGCTCTCACCCCTTGTTTCTCTCTCTAAGCCTCTCTCTCTCTCTCTCTCTCTCTCTCCCCCTTTGTGCTTTATGAAAAGGTCTGGGGCATCGTTTGGTGTGGTTGGGTGGGTGAGGACCGGTTGGAGGGGCCCGGAGCGTGGCCCGCTCTCCCACTATGCCAAGACTAGCCCGGTTCAAAACCCGCATGACATTCCAACGCGCTAGTGGGGGCGTTGGACCACGTACTACTTGGTTTTGTGAGAATGACAGCTGCGGCTGAGGCAGAGCGCGTGGATCGACGGCGTCGAAATGATTGTGGGGGGGTATGCAATTGAAGGTGGGATGGACCGGTTTTATTAAGCGTTATAACGTATGGGAGCTGCTCATCGAAAAATCGGAAAATCAGCCGGTTAAGGCAGTTGAACATGACAGTGCGTTCACTCTCCTCCACTCAATTCGATTCCTTTCTTCGTAGGTTAAACATGGTAGTGTGTTTGCTCTCTTCCACTGAATTTGACTATTTTCTTCGTAAATTAGAGTAATTTAAAGTAGTTAATTATCATTTGACAAATAACCTTAACAAAATTCAAGTTTCGGATTGTGTTTACACAACAAAAATGTAACTGTTTCATACTAATTCGTTCTCAACAAACTTTCTTACAAAATGGAAATGAAAAGAAGAAGAATTCACGTGGAACAGCCCTACCCACGTGAAAGAAGCAATCCTCACTGATTATTTGGAAGATGATTGCTAGCATCATTCTGCTACGCTCGAGTAGGTGACTAAATGCCGTTGATGCACATGGTGATGAAAACTTTGACCCGAACGAAACCAACAGCATTCATATGAGTGATGCTACATGTACTACCTTGATTGATCGCATTGTAGGCTACATATACAAATTTCCATCCATACATCTTTTGGATATATCGATGTTCATATGAGGCGACAATGAAGCAAAGAGATCTACACTAATGAACAACAAATGTGTCATCAACTAATTTCATATCGTGTGGTTATTCTACATGTTTCAGCTACACGGCACTTAGCTATAAGCTGGCGGTGATAAATGAGGAGGATTCTTGTTGCTTTAGGCTGTCAGCAACGTGAGCAACCACTCCGGTACCAGCATTGTGGAGCCATTCATTTTTCACCTGGATTCACAAACAGAAATCAGTATGAGAAACCAGAAACAAAGAAGCAAAATCTCCTGAAGAAAGATTGATTGATGACGGGCAGTACATGAATGTTGTTATGGGCAAAGAAGGGCCAAAATGCTGAATGAAAGCTGACGTCAACTTTTTTCCATCCTAACTGCTGTAAGCCGCTTATCATTTCCTCTGTTCACATACTAAACAAATTGTTAATCAAAGTTATGGGAAAAGGATAAACTTCATCTGTTATCATCCTATTCTGAATTTCTATTAGCATTTATCATTTGTGTACCTTCAACAATTTCATGATATTCCAATGTGTTCTGTGTGTTGGGTTCACTCTGGGCAGCCTCCTTTGCTTTAGCTGCTTCAGGAGGAAAATGGGGACCGTCAGAGGAGACTGGGGGATAGTACTCAACATCTACAACATGCTTGTAGCCATCCAAAGACCGGCGGGGGGGCTGCCAACAAAGTTAGAAATATATATTCAGAGTGATACATATAAAACACAAAGGGTATGTAAACTAATCAGTTGTATTCAAGGACTAAACCATTTAGCTTGAAAAATATGATGGCCATGAAGAAATAATACTGCTTGTCTCAATGGATAACGAAAAGTTACGTAAGTTGGAAAAAAGCAATTACATCAACTAAGAAGATTTTTACAAGTAACCACTGATTAGCTTAAGATTTTTTTACTTCAAAATATAATAGCAGCTAGAAAGATGCTGGATTAGTAGCCATTATATATCTGATCTTGCATGGGAAAATGCTTCTGTCCCGAAAAGAAATAATTATGAAAAGCAACCATGTAAATGAAGTTAACATGGTGGGAGAAAGAAAGACCGTTTTCATCTTATTACACCCTCTGAATAACTCTAGGGCCTCTGACTCTAGTGCAGAACCTTGAGCAGCATTTGAATAACTCCATAATTACGAAATGACACTTACAAGCATAATCATGACTGATCATAATTCCCTTGACCCTGACAACTAATGACTAATTGCCACCATAGCCAACACTAAAAAAGGCCCTGTTTTAACTAGTAGGAAAAAGAAACATTTAATCATAAAAACTTGCTTTGTCCCTGGCCTCAAAACCACTTTACAACTTTAGCCCCAGTCAAATAGCACTAACATAATTTGGCATCTTCCAAAATAAATTTGCATATGCACACTACAAACAACAGGCAGTGACAAGTTTCAGTTAGTAATTGAAATGCAAATTTTAATTTTTTTTCTTTAGTTCCAACTCAGTCCTCAATGTATTACTCATTTACTTAACAGTTAATTAATGAACAGAAAGTAAGTATCGCAAGCTCAACCAGAGAATCAACTGTCACCTTAAAAACTTCTGTTTCCCTCCTAATTGATGATGTGCGCCAGCCAACCATATCTGTGCCGTGTTAAAGAAACTGATATATTGAAGGGAAGACTAACAAATATATAAAAGTTAATACAATCATCTCATTGCGCTAAATATGAATGATATGCAGTAGGATACGATCATAAGATACATTAGCGTAAAGAATGCGACATTTAAAAGACCCCAAAGCAGATCTGCAAAATGGAATATATTAGAACCAAATTTAGAACTTCGGTGAAACGAAAATGGTCAAAAGTAATATAAAGTGCTGCACTTACACAAATTTTCCGTCGTCACAATCAGATGCCATTCTCAAAAGAAGCGGAGGTTTCTCAGGCTTACCATCAGTGAGGAACAACTGACTACCAGTTCTACGAACAATAATAGGAGCAATTGGAGCAGCAAGCTTTTCTAAGAAAGGTACTCCGAATAGAAACGGCAGCTGAAGAAAAATCAAACAGAAGTTAGAATTTTCTATATAAAGGTAAGGTGGTAGTAGTCCCAGATACTCGTTATCAACAACTATCTTAGTTCTACAACAGCCCCACAACATAATGTCCTCAAACACCTCTTGAATGGTTAGACAACAGTGTTTAAATTAAACATAGCCAGACAAATTTAAACTATCTAGTCATCCTTTTTGAAGTGTATTAAGCACACGGCTGTATGTTGGAATGCAAAGTCCAAATGATTTTGGAAAGAAGGCACATCAGCAGAGTCCAGCATGGCATGAATATTCAGATGTAACTATATTGTAAATGCATATAACTAAGGATGAGATACCGACCTGTTTTTTCCCTCTCACCCCGAGATGTGGAGTTGCCAATGTCACAAAATTGATTGGCTCCAAACCAGCAATCTTTCCTCGTCTCCAAGAGTATGCTTTTTGTGAATTTGCAATGGTTGTATTGGCACCATCATCGGGTGTGTAAAGGACAGAAATTGCATATCTTGCGAACAGGCCCCCGAGAGAATGGGCTAAAAATGAGATCTTCTTCAAGCTCTCTGTCTTTTGCACAACTTGCATGACCTGCTTATCATGAATCCCTAGGTTATATAACTATCATATTATATTTCCCAACAAAGCCACAGGTACCATGCTATATAACAAAAGTTTGAAAATTTTACACATTGGCTCAACAATTTCAAAACTTACCTCATCTGCTAATCGTTTTCCAGCTCCATCAATCCCGGTAAAAGTTTTAGTGTACGTGTTAGATGAACTAGCTGCAAATACATCAACCATGAAGTTAACACTCACAGACTAACAGCCACGTACATCAAATTTATTCAAGCAAAGACAGGGGAACTTAAAAAATCAATCTTAGGTGCAAATTGTGATATCATCATCACACCCTAGTGTACCAAATATGTGTTCTTCCCAGTAGAAAAACAAGATATTAGATCAGTTCAGGCCAGGTTTCTCACTATCCTTCTTAGTACGACAACCGTCGACAAACATCAACTACCTTTTCTGAGTGGTACTTTGTGACTTCTTGTTGTTCAAATTTTAATTCCACACATATGATATTAAATTACACCGGAAGAACTGAAATCAATTTACCATAAATTAGGAATTTTCTTCCAAGACGCCTTCGTAACTCAGCTTCCCCATATGTCCAGTCACTTGGGCTGCATTACTAGGAATCAGTCAACTTGATATCAATTTTGGGGGAGAAAAAGCCAAAGAAATACATAGTCATGGAAACAAAGTCCAAGCAGTTGCGTATTGGAAACCTTCAACATGTAGAATCCAAAATTTGAAAGTAGCAGTAATAAGACTCAACGAACAATTAAAGAATGATCATATGCGCAGACATATTCCTTCAACAGCACAAACAAAATTAAGACCCTCAACCCAACTTTTGTTTATCATCTCCATTTGTTTCAGTATAAAAAATATAAAATAAAATAGTAACTGTTGAAGAAAGCTTTCTCTTTTCTGTAAATTTTATTTTTGGGAAGAACTACCAACTACAATTTACAAACAGAGCTATATTTGAGACTTGGAACAACATATACCTTGCCAAGATGCCATGAACAAGGACGAGAAGATGATCAGGCTTATTCTCTGCACTTGCAACACCCCCGGAGGCTGATGCAAAATTTCCCCGACTAGTCATAGCTTGAGCTCTAAGGCCCTGGTTTCTCCAACAACTATATAACCCTGCAATTTTTTATTTATTAAAGTGTGTATAAGAAGAATTGGGTCATGCTTCTAACACAAGAAATTAATGCTATATTACAAAAAGACCATTAGCTTGAGGCAATTAAGCAAATATTACACCTTTGAAATCAAATCTCAAAAAATTTCCCGGGAAAATTATTTGAGAGAAATTTAAAATTACCAGAAGAAAAGCCCAGAGACGAAGAGCAACAAGACGAAGACGAAGAAGAGCCTACAGGTCCCTGCGAACCATATCGTCGATTATCACTGAATCTCGTAGAGTAACCAAAGCGTGCGTGAATCAGAGAAGCGGATGCCATATATATAAGTATTTATATGTATTTATAGAGAGAAAAAGCGAGAGAGATCCTAATTTCTCGTTTGAATCAAAGCGAAGTCAGCATCGTCGCCATAATGTCTAATCCTTCGTTATCTTCCTCCTGACTACCATACGCAAGCAAGCCCATGTCTCTGCCTCACTCAGCTCCTCAGCGGTTATTTCGATTTTTTCTGTTCTTTTCTGCGAAATAAATATAAATAAAAGGCACCACCAAATATTCAGACAAAAATTATTGTAGTGTAGTGGATATCAACTACCGGTGCCATTTTTTTTTTCTAAGCTAAAGAAAATACCAAAATTATTTGTTTAAGGGAAGTTTTCCTCTTCTCGGTAATGAGAAAACTATCACTACCAACTTGTTAATTTGTTTTTATTTTATTTTAAACAAACTAATATTCTAAGCTACTCTACTATACGAGGATGAGAGCTGCAAGGGTTCGGACAAATTACTTTAGCCAACTGACGTAACTTAGGTCCGCAACTTACTAATTTGTTAACTTGACCCTAAAAAAAAGTTGTAAATTATAACTGTATTTTATTTTATAAGCATTTGCTTTTTTTCTAATTAATGAAGTTGGTATTTAATATCGCAATAAACTCTAAACAAAATGTGACAAAATCATGTTTGTATGATCAGACTTCTAATTATGGCTTTTTAAACATGTGCCAAAATATTAACCCTAGGATGCATCTGAATGGCTAAGATTAGAGGAGGAGATTTGGCTAATTAGGGATAAAAATTAAGAGTAAATTGTGGACTTTTATGAACAATGACAAGGGAGACAGATAAAAAAATAGTGTCTTAATATAACGTTTTTTTGGTGCAGAAAAATACAGAAGATGTGAGCAAATATCACCACCTTTGGAGAGCTCAGCTAGCTGTTGCAGTCAAAAGGCGCCAAATGGAAAGCAATTATTGTGCCAGAGTGTGACGTGGATAAATGCATGCCCACCCTTGAAGATTGATACCAAGCAATCATGGTGCTTTGCTTTGGTTTTCGACATGCGCGCCAATATGCCTATCTCTTCTCTTCTCCTCTCTTATGTAATTCTATGCCTAAAGGTTCTCTATCCAGTTTGTTCTTAATATGTCCAAACAAGCATTATGGGCCTATAATACTTGGATCTGATTACTCAGACCACCAATAATATTGTTGCATGAGTAATTATTTTTAACAACTTGAGCTACAAATCTCTTACTCAGAACTCGAATTTTGCCGTCCGTTATGAGCTTATATTAGCTTAAAATGACTTCAGCTAGTTTATCATGGGCTTTCAAATTCTATGTACATTTAGAATTCGGGTACAAGGCCCAAGGTGAATTGGGAGTCACTATTTTTTAGAATGGGAGCCCAATATGCATGGTGTCTTCTCCAGATGTATAAAATCATATACGGAACCAAATAATTATATGTCGCCACCACTCTGTATTATAATAATATACATGACAACACACCGTATTTACAAAGGTAGTGAAGAAGAAAACCTTAAAACTAAAAAGTTATGCCACCACGTCATAGAATTGTCGGTGCATAAACAACTGACGCTAACATTCTTATTAAAAGATGAAAACAAAAAAGCTGGAGAAAACCACTGGCATATATACATATCTTAATATGTTCACATCACAGTCAATTCACATTATGGAGCAAGCATGAGGGTTATCGTCACTGAACGCAGCAGTGTCCTGCTCGCTAAAAATGGTGGAGTAAGGAGGAGGTTGATAGTAGCCATGCTCATGACTTGTGGAGCCATGCTTGTAGTAGTTGTAGGAGTAGGATGAATTAGGTATTGAGTTATAGGTGATGATGGGTGCTTGCTTCTTGTAGCCATGATGGTGATGATCATGATGATGATCGTGTGGCTGATGTTGACGGTAGTATTGGAGATTATTGATGTTGTGGTATTGTGGATTGTAAGGGTAAGGCCAAAGCTCAGCTCTCTTTCCAGTCTTCCTAACTGCTTTCAACACTTTTTTTTGGTCAGCCCATCCCATTACAGTCACCTTCTGCGTGTTGACGTCTACATCAATAGCATCCACTCCTGCCATACATACAGTTAATCAATTAATTTACATAATAACACTAGAATCATGACAATAAAGCATATGTACGGTTAAGTTAGTTGGCTAAATCGGTGCATCTGTCCTCTTATATTCAAGTTCGATTCCCCTCTCCGTACATGAGTAGTTAAAAGATTACAGATAATCTTAACCAAGGGATTAAGCTAAGCTGAATATTTTATAAGGAGTAAAATCTAGTTTTCGATATTTTTTAAACCAACATGCTACTTGTTATATTGTACCTTGTCGATCCTTCTTACTTAGAATAGAAGGAAAACTTTTGGTCTTGGCCTTGATCTTTAAGTAATCTCTTTTACTAATCAGTTAATATTATGTGACGTACTTGTCCGTTTCATAACCCACCAATCATTAGAAAGAAAGTGTTAAATTTCTGCAGAAGTATCTCTTCTCAATAACTTGTATTAATGCTAGAGATGGAGCGACAAAAAAGAAGAAGAAGAAGAAGAAGAAGACAAAAGCACTTTTACAAAATTATACCTTTCAGCTTTTTCAGAGCTTTCCTTATCTTGGTCTCGCAGCCAGCACAGTCCATGTGCACTACGAGCTCTACTATCTGCACAAAATTAACAATCCAGATATTAATTACAATTCAATTTACTTGACAAATCCGACCTAGCTAATAAATTTTAAAAAATAAGTACCTTCTACCAATGCAGTTAGTGTTTAACTTCAAAAATAAACAACATATATATATATATATATATTTAACACGCCATGCAGAACTTCATGCTTGTACATACTGTTCTTGGATTGAAAGTTGTCCAACATATATATCATCTTAATTTCATTTCATGCGATCAGTATACATATGCCTGAATATAAACTTGCGTATATATAGTACAGAAATGCTATCATGAAGCATAAGCAAGTACTAAAGTCAGAGGCAGAGCTACAATTCTTAGTATGGACAATCAAAACTTGAAAATCACTTGCGCATAACTTTCTCATCTTCAACTGAAAGCACTAAGTTAATTGCAGAAATTGTATTGTTATGACATATGTTTCGTAGTATATTACGAGGGATTTGTGACTCCTTCCCTGACTGAAGTACATGCATGAACCTCATCTCTGATGTATATGTCATCATGCATGAGATGAGACAAATATAGACAGATAGAAAACCAAAAAGAGTTGTTTCTCACCGTCATGTTGGAATAAGATATATCTCTGGTCTCTTTTGCAAATTGGTTCGTACGTTTGAGCCTCTAACTTCTTGGAATGAGAAACTAAAATGCAATTGCACTCAATATATATAGACGGCAGAGATCTTTGTCCCAAGATATTTGATAACTTCAACGCTGCTGCCTGAGCTAAGGCAAGATAAGTTAGAATATTTTTTTAAAACGAGTAGCCCCCACAACACAACTTTCTTTTATATCTTTCGTTGTCTTCTTCACCATCGATCTTGCTTTCAGTGAAAGTGCACAGCAACTGCTTAGAAGTTGATGTGCAAGCCTTCTGATGAGCTTCAAATTTCTAATAACCTACCTATACAAGTAATATATTGTCTAAGTAAGGACTTAACCGTGTTGGTCAAGTCACTCTGGTGTGTACAGGAAATAACAATGGATATTTATTTTATTTTTTTAATTGCAATTATTAAACCAGTTTGGCCGTCGCCATAGTTGTTAACGCCATACATATAGTCATCATCATCGTCATTATTATTAAAATGTTTTTAATTATCGACATCATTATGTATATAGCCATTAATTAATAAATATATGCATGGATAATGGATTCCATCATGTATATCATCTTTACAACTTTATTACATGTCACATGTGCAAGTTGTTGTACTATAATGCTCGTGGATAGACATAGCCCCGTTGGTAAGTTGGAAAAATGAGTTACAATTAGGTCATGTTCCTTCGTAATATATATATATACACATGGCCTATAATAACTCTCATATCTCACGACTTGAACACTCTCGGTGTCTAATGTATCGCTTTCTTATCGAATAAACTATTTGTAACATATTTACTTATCATAGTTTGTAAATGAATTTTCTTGTCTTTATTTTAACGAAAAATAAGATTGTAAATATGATATATGTAGCATCATTTTTTTATTAGCCAGATAAAGAAGTGATACCATATTTGATAATAATATGGATATTGAGATTCGAGAAGGAGAAAAAAGGAGTGGGCTTGACTTGGTCTTCAAGTCCTGGTTCCCGGAAAGAGAGAGAGGGAGGTGGAGTGGAGGGGAGGTCGGTGAAATATGCCCTAGTAGAGGCCTAGTTGCATATCTTTGCCTTGCAGGACCATATAAAGTGAGATTCCAAATTCATGTGCACCGTGATCCGGGACTTTTAATTTAAGAAAACGACTTTTGGTAACAATCCCTTTCTAATTGGTACAACCGATATCTGTCCTACGTCTGAGCATTTGAATGAGGAAGTTGGACTTTATATATTTAGGAAATTATCTACGCATTATAATATGAGTAAGCGATATATTTATATTTATAATGAAACACGTGTTATAATATAAGTGGTTGGTGTTACCATCGTGATACTGAAAGATTTTTAGTTCATACATTTAATTCATAAAGATGATTTGGGAACAAAACTCAAAATCTACACCTTATGGTATTGATTATCATCAACTTAATTTTTATTTTCTAGTAGGATACCACAATCAGAAACCATATCATGATACAGCCCTGGATTTGGACGAAAGCGGTGGGGAATTGAAAAAAAAAAAAAAAAGAAAAAAAAAAAAGGAGAAATTATTCCCCAAGTAAGGAAATGAAGTTGTAAACTGATGATATGTAGGCACCTACGGGACCTTGGCTTGCTTGCTAGCTAGTCAACAACATGTTCTACTGGCCGGCAGCAAATGCCTCAACTGGAAAAGTCTTAGTAATGCCGGCAAGGCTCTTGAAGTTGATTTTTCCGGTGGGCTGATCAACGATGATATCGCTGACTGGAGGCCAGAGCATGAGCTCCTTAGCCTTCACTCCCTTGAGCTTCTTAATTCTCTTGTTTTCAATATAGCCTTTAATTTCAGTGTCATAACTCACAAGCTTACTGATCAATTTGAAGCTGTGCTCAACCTTCTTCTTCTGGAGGATCCACATGTAGCCGGTGCACCTCACAAAGCCAACTTCGATCACATCGGCAAGGGGCAAGAGCCCTAGAGGAAGATCAAACTCCTGGAGCAGCGCAGTTGCTAATGCCAGTCCCTCTTCATGGCCCTTCTTGACAATTCCTCCTTCCTTCTCTGCCATGACTGAGTGTCTTTCTTGCTTGCTTGCTTAAAGTTTCAAATGAAGCAGTGAAGTTGTGGGTATGTTTGGTTGAGGCAAAGGGGTTAATTTATACAAAGTTACTACATGCATTGGGACAAATTTCAACAGTGTGCTTAAGTTGGATGGCCATTACACACCTAGTTTTAATCGATAGTTAATCTTAGATTACAACATTGTTTCAGTTCCAAGTACAAAGCTCATCGATACGATACGCCTACTTTCCCATACTGAATTTGGGCAGCTCATTGTCTGGTTGCAATTGTCTTAAACGAACAGGAAGAATAGGACCCAACAAAAGCAGCAACATGGTGGTGAAGACCACAACACACTTTGGGGCCTCCAGGGCTTCATCCCATGGATCATAAAATAAGGATTTAAGAGAAATTTTGGGGACTACTACAATGAAAATTACCTTGGTTTCTCCATTCTATTTGTCCCATGCATGCAGTAACTTGGTATAAATTAATCCCCTTACCCAAATGTACTTACAACTTCACTGGTTTTCTTCGAAACTTAAAGAAGAAAAAGGGTTCAATCATGGCAGAGAAGGAAGGAGGAATCATCAAGAAGGGCCACGAAGAGGGACTGGGGTTGGCGACCGCGCTGCTGCAAGAGTTTGAACTTCCACTTGGGCTTTTGCCCCTGGCCGATGTGATTGAAGTCGGGTTTGTGAGGAGCACTGGCTACATGTGGATCCTCCAAAAGAAGAAGGTCGAACACAGCTTCAAATTGATCAGTAAGCTTGTGAGTTATGACTCTGAAATTAAAGGCTATATTGAAAAGAAGAGGATTAAGAAGCTCAAGGGAGTGAAGGCCAAGGAACTCATGCTCTGGCCACCAGTCAGTGAAATAACTGCTGATGAACAGCCCACTGGAAAGATTCACTTCAAGAGCCTTGCTGGCATCACCAAGACTTTTCCGGTTGATGCATTTGCTGCTGGGCAGTAATTGCACGTTGACAGCCAAGCAGGCCAAAGTCCAGTAGGTGCCTGAATTTCATCATTTTACAACCTCAGTTCCTATTTGGGGAAGCTTACTTTTCTCTTCTTTTCCCCATCCATTGCTTGTCCAAATCAACGGCTTTGTTTTGATAAGGTTTCTGATTGTCGTAGCCTGCTAGGAAAATAAAAATTCAGTTGATGATAATTAATACCATATGAAGTGGGTTTAATGACACCAGATAGGATGGAAACAATACTTGCACAAGAATAAGCTCCTAATCAAATTAATTCATCATCAAACGAATTGCCTATTCAATCTCACAACAATCCAGCAAATGAACATTAGCTATGAACATTTTACGAAGTACAGGATGCACTTAATGGGACACATGGGTCATAAATATGCGGTGAACCCCATCTGCAGCAAAGTTCATAGATTTAAGAGTTTAATGATTTCTCTTATTACAAAGTTCATAAGAAATTTTGAAATCTGAAAATTGCTCCATTTACAGCTAACCAGTAAATAAATTTCGTCTCGCAGGCAAGATGTAAGCAGTTAAATGAAATCATAACAAACAGTTTAAAGAAGGTGTGTAGAAGCAACAAAAACAGGGGCAGAGCAAGAAATGCAAATTCAACTGCCATTTGTTTAAGAGTTAAGGCATAATGAAGCTTACTTAAGTGATCAGCTCAGCCTTACTCATACAGCAAACCTGCATTGCACTGATTCTATGGTTTCATTTGACCATTTAGTTTGCTTAGCTGTTTAGCCTACTCATAGTGTAAAAACAGAAACTAATACACCTCACTGCACCAGAGAAAAATATAAAGAAAAACTTGGTTTAGGGAGAGAGATTAAGAATGTTGTCGAGAAAAAGCAAACAGCTTTATATTTATCACTCAAGAAAGTTTGGACAGATCAGAGTTATGGCTAGTTATCTAGACATGAGCATGAAATGGCCGATTAAAGAATATGCACCAGGTGAAATTTCTAGAAAGATGGTTCTGAGAAAATAAGTTCGCTGCCAAGAAGATTGAGGTTCGATATAAATGCCACTTAGCAATTGCAAAATACACGATGAAACATAAATATGCCCATAACTATTAAAGTTCCCTAAAGAACAGCCAATACAGTATTGTATTGTGTTCTTCATGACCGAATCCAACCCACACACCCCACCCCACCCAAAAACGAGCCAGGTAACATAAAAAGCAACAAATATGTAGAAATGATAAACCTTCGAGACAAAAGAATTTCCTTTCTTAATAATAACCTTTGTAACAAAAGAATGAGGTCCCATTGGAAGAACCAGTATGTATTATAATGTAATTGCCAATCTTCTGTTTCAAAACAGGAGAGAGCTTGTATAATTGTATCAGATGTAAGATTAAAAATGTCACTTTGATCGTGCAGTTGGAAAGGCATGTGAGCATATTCCACCGATTCTGGTTTCACCATGTCAGAAGTTCTCACACAATCCCAGAGTTGAACACATGTAATTCCAGTAAGACATTGTACCACCCCTTCTCAATTTCCTCCTCTTTTACTCGATGAAGGAGAAGAGTTTCAATAATTAAATCTTCCCAATCAATACCACGTGCTCTCTTTCTCTTCTTCGTACTATGTACATCTTCAGTAGTGCGAGTATCGATACTGTCACCAGAATGAGCATTTAATGGATGCATAATTTTATCAATACGCAGCTTGGCAGCATTTATCTTTTCTCTCCTCTTCTTTACAGTCACGCAACCATTAACAAAAGATGGGGGCACAACATCCAATCCTACATCTTTCTCCAATATCTCCTTAAGTAGAAGCCTCCTGCTCAATGCAGACTTTCCATTCCACCACTCTGTACAAGCATGGAGCTCAAAACCCCGCCTCTTTTTCCTTTCACGAACCTCTTTTAACCCCCCAGACGACTTAACATTCCCAACCTCATCCAAAAACTTTGAGTACATCATGGATAAGCATTCGTGTGAAAGTTTCAGCTTATCCACATTGTCAACACTC